TTTTTTTTTTTTTTTTTTTTTTTTTTTTTTTTTTTTTTTTTTTTTGTGGGTCATCTCGTTTATTGAAGCTATGAACATAAACACGAGAGAAGTTTAGAGAGTGTCAAACGATGAGATCAAAGAACGAAAAACGAATGTAGATACTTCACCTACCATGCTTGACAAATTTATCTTTTTATATTTATGTTAGAGGGAGTATCGTAACTTTTCTATAGGGTAGTTAAATAGTCGCCTTTCACCACGGTCCGGTCCGTCTTACCTTTCTTCGATCATACTTTTATTTTTATTAAAGATAATAAAATGAAAAGAAAAAGAAAGAAAAGGTTTAAAAAGAAATCTGACAATTGAAAGGAGGAGAGATCCAAAGAGAAGTAATGTATTTTGGTTTTGTGTGATTATTGATAACTCAATTGAAAGGCAATTCATTTGGATTGATATGACTTGATATAATAATAAATAATAATAATTCATCAAAATAATGCTTTTTTTAAATAAATAAATAAATAAAAAGGAAATTGTCATGACAGCTGGATGGGTACATATAATAATATCATTAAATTAATTAAAATGTCTAAAAAAATTAATAAACTTTGTGGTTCAAACATGAATAAGATTATATAAATAATCATGTGAAGGTTTTATTTAATATTGATAGGTAAAGATGAGGTGAGGTATTGAGTTAGTTGTTGAGATGTCATTTAATTTTAAATTTGATTAATTAAAAAGAAAAATCCAAAATGGTTTAATAAAATTTGACCTTTTGATTTAGGGGTTGGTGATATTCACTCCGATTCAAACCTCAAATATTAGTTTTTGCTGCAAAATTGGTTGGATATGCAATAATTCATGCAAAGGCCTCTCTTTTTTTGGCATTATATAAATATATATAACCACTTCAATCAATAATCATTATTCATTTCATACCTAAATTTGCTTGCTTCTATCATAAATGTTAATAATATTCACCTCAATAAATGGCTAGAAAGATAGATATTTTGACCCGTTAGTCAAAATACAAGCTATGGATCTATATACAATGATAGTACGATACATGTAGTATCGATTCATAAACTATATATCGGAGCCCTTGTTTCGATGTCGTTTTCTTTCCCTTGAAAGCATTTAAAGATGATCGGTATGGGTTGGGTTATGGGGTTATGAAAAGATTTAAAGAGACTAATCTTTAATGAACTTTTAATAAACTAATCCAGCACCAGATATCACATCCCACTAACAAAGCGCATTAAACAAAAGGCAAAAAATGGTTATCTTTCTTATCTTATTTCAATTTGTGTCCTCATAATAGAAAGAATTGCAGAGCAGTTTGATGTGCCATTTCACCTGATGGACGCCTATATTGACTTTACCTTCACTAGGTACATTCACAAATTTCAATATGGAATTAATGAGAATAATGAAAGATAGCTATTGAGATAGAGAACACTGGATTATATCTATAAGTTCATCAGGCAGATGAAGATGATAAAGCACTGAAACAGAAATGATTTTGACTTTGATGTTGATGTAAACTTCTCCACTCATTCATTCAAATTATGTAGAAATGCACCGCATATAACTTGGATAAGGAAGATGAGAAAACTCAGTAACATAGGGTTATCTCAATGGTACCTTTGGCTCATCTCCGACCAGGGTTTCCTCCACCTCGAGCTGGTGCTTTGTACCCACCTCCACGATCAGGTGGTGTCGAAGACCCGTACGGAGCAGTGTTTCCAGGTGCAGCATGTCCTGCAACACGCCTAGAGTGAGCATCATAGCCAGCTCGTAACCCAGGCACATTGTAACCTGCTGGTCCTCTCTGTCCATCATAGCCAGGCCTCTGGGAATCATAAATGGATCCTCTTGGTCCTTCGTAGCCAGGTCCTCGTTGGGAACCCCTTGCTGGATCAAAGTTGGGTCGTGTTGCTGTTGAACCAGTTTGAGGTCCTGTGTATGCAGTCGCACCAGCACTGGATACACCACCTACAGTAGCAGACAGCTGACCACGTCCCTATTGCACAATTTCAGTGAGTGGAAATCACTAGGCAAAATAAAACTCAATCAACATACTGATTTTGGAGTGTAAACCACCAGTCATGTCCATACTGCAATTGTGTTTTGATAATTGTATTGAAAGAGCTGAAATTACCAAAGGATGCTCCAATGATTAAGAATTAAAACTGAAGGAAGATTACAAAGTAGTTTAGTAGAGGATGAACAGTCATCTTTGATGCCAAGCTAGCACCAAATAAATTCCAAAAGCCAACCAAAATCTTCACCGTAAAGTTATGTCTCCATAAAAAGTTATATAAATCTTGTGGTCCAACTTCACATGATACGTTCAAACAAAGCATGGCATCTGGCCAGCAGGAAGAACCTGGCCTTTTGTGAAATGGAAGAATAATGAAGCAAGTGAGAGAAGAAATATTTACAAGAGAACAAACCAAAGGAATTAAGAGATTATACACCTTTTGCTGTAACTTGTATCTAAAACAAAAACTATGTAGAAGGGACTACAACATAGACATATCCACGACTTCCCTACCCCCTAAGGTGAAAGTTAAAAGAAAACAAACTCCATGGGAACCCCACATTTTTTTTTTTTTTTTTTTTTTTTTTTTTT